AGTCACACCATATGACACTGACACATGACCAATGACTGTCTGGCTCAAACCACCTCACCCTCCTCTGGGTGTTGGTTTGAATAAACAAATAAAGATTGCTTCCTAGAAGCTTCTGACAAAGAATATTGGCATCGGTGAGGTAATTAGTCAAAAGCAGGAAAGGCAAGACTCCTGACCTGTCTACCACACCCTGTGTTGTCACGTACCTGGAGCTCTTTTAATGCTCCTGCAAACTTTGAAGACAAGACGAAGGTCCCACTTTTGCAGCCTGTAATTCTAAGGGAAGATCCACTTCCAGCAATTACTTCTCTAAAGCTTACTTACATCAGTAAGGCTGTGGGATTCCTCCAGGACCCAAATTACTAAAATCTCACCTCTTACGGTTTATTCGTAAAAGCCGCCAGATCCTTGGCATAAGCAATTAAGAGAATATTTTTCTCCTCTTTATATACAGTATTGTCTTTGCCCAGCACTTATGAGGAAGTATACTTTATTACTGGAAATCGTTTCCTTATTAAAAAGTCTATTTTATGACATTATGGAATATCCCCCCCATTTTTTTTAAACCCTTACTCATTCACAGTCTGATATAACATAACTCCTAGTTAAATATCAACCAAACTTTGCTGTACTGCAGGAATCTGTCTGACACCATCAACAGATTAAGGAAACAGAAAAATTGCATGGACTTAGAGGTACATACTAGCTACTTACCAAGATATTTTTCCAGATTAATTTTTATGAAAGGGAACTGGTGATTACAACATCTGAGCACTCAGCTTAGTATGGCCAAAGGATGAGATGTGTCTCACTGCCCACACAGTTAAGTGGAAACACTGATCAGCCTCTGGATTCGGCTATTATTACTAACATCACGTCAAATTCTTCTTGGACTCCACTCTTTCCAAGGGGGGAGCCTGACTATATATATTTTGATCTGGCTTCAAGAAAATGCCTACATTGCAGGATTATCTTACAGCTGCTTTTGACCTCTAAGACATCTTGAAGACTTTCTTTAATAAAAATTGAAAATAAATGTATTCTAAAGAGACAGATTATTATCCAAGTCAATGTTATAAATAACCTGAGCTGCTATGTCTCATCCCTGAAGTGTAACATCCTTACAAACAAATTTACTTTTGTTTTTCTGTTCCATTCCATTTTTTGAATTCTAGCACTCTTCAATAAGCACCACCTGTTACAGAAAGCAGAAACAAAAACTGAAAACAAGCCTCTTCTTTCTCAAGCTGCCCATTGTTGTCCTGTTTAATGAGAACACCCTCAGATGTCCTCTGATCTCCCATTTGATTAGCCTCAGCAATCACTCAAGAGCTAAATCTGCAAAGAACTACCATTAAAATAAGGATCCTACCTTACAGGCTGAACAGTAGTTACATGCTTAAACTACATACCTGAAGCTCATAAAATTGACAATGATGTGATCTTTGGAAAATGCAGGTGTGTTGCATGATAGCACTGTGGTTTTGTTTACAGTATTCATACCTCTCTGGACAAGACAGTACTATGTTCCTGACCCCATAGGTTTCAGGCATCAAGCAAAACTACACAGCGGAGTCATTTTAGGATCACCAGTTTACTTTCAAAATGTTTAGTAAAACATCCACTGTCCCAAATTCTTATGTAAAATGATTTGACCTAAGGCAAGTCTAAGGCTGCGCTCAGTAGAGTCGTGTGAAGAAATCCTTATTACTTGACTCCTACAGACAGCAGGAGATGCAGATGAGATGGTGTGACAACACTAAGCCTATCCAACAAGAGGCTGAATAGCCTAATTTCTTGTCAACACAAGAATCCACGCTTTGCTGGACTGAACAGCCAAGTCCTCCAGCTACAGAAAGAATGAAGTGGCTGATAGGAGGAGTTAACAAAGCATATAAAGCACTAAAATCACTGAATATGACTCTCTGGTATCTGGACAAAACAAACAAACAAACAACCCCCCCCCAAAAAAAAAAACAAACAGAAAAAAACCCAAAACAAAAAAAAAAAAAAAAACCAAAACCAAAAAACCAACCACCTGCTGGCAAAGAGTGATCTAAATGTCCTTACTTAGCAATTCAAAGTAAGAGATTCAAAAAGCTCTGAATCTCACCCAAAGAGTGAACAGCATAGAGCAGAAGAGAATAGGGGGACATGGGAGAACTACAGAGATGCTGTTTGCAACTGCAAAGAGAAAATTTGTGTGGCCAAAGCTCAATTAGAGTTCAAGCTGTGAAGGACAGCACTGTAAAGGACCATAAAAACACATTTTTAAAATATGTTAACAGCAAAAGGAGAACCAGAGACAACATTGATCTTTTAGTTTATGAGCTCAGTCACCTCACAAATAGGGACACAGGCAAAGCAGAGACATGTAATGGTTTTTTTAACCTCTGTCCTTAACACCAGTGATAGGCTGTGGGACCCCCAAAGCCCTGTGTTGGAAGACTGTGACTGGGGGAATGATAAAGTTTCAGCCCACTCTGAACTTGTTCAATACCTGTTGCTCCAGCTGGATGTGAACAAATCTATGTGGCCTAGTGAGATTCATCCCAGAGTACTGAAAGAGCTGGCTGATCTAATCAGGGGAGGGAGCTGTCTCCACTATTTTTCAACAGTCTTGGGAGTCTGGAGAGGTCCCAGTCAACTGGAAGCATGGCAAATATTGTCCCAGTTTTCAAGGGTAAGAAGAGAGACCCTGGTAATTACAGGCCTGTCAAGTCTCATTTCAGTAACTGGTAAAATTACAGATAAGGTTATTCTGGGAGTTATTGAAAGTCACTTAAGAGACAACACAGGCATTGGCCACAGCCACCACAGGTCTGTGAAGGGAAAGTCCTGCTTAAGTAACTTAATTTCCTTTTATGACAAGGCCACCCAGGTAGTTGACCAGGGGAAGCAGTGGATGTGGCATTTCTCTGATTTTAGAAAAGCTTTTGGCATTGTCTTACAGTGTCTTTCTGGATGATATATCCAGTGTACAGCTAGACAAGTCCATAATACACTAGGTCAGCAACTGGTTGACTGGTAGAACTCAAAGAGTTACAGTAAATGGTGTAAGAGGTACTTAAAGAGAAATCTATTTCCTTGAAAAGCAAATTAGTCTACCAAATCTGGTAACCCTGAAGATTTAACAGAGTTGCTTTAACATAGGCATATTTCTTTAATCTTTGTAATTCAGGAGTAAACCCATTGACTTGCATGTTGTTATACAAATGAAAAAGCCTGTGGGAGGTGAGAATAAGATCATCAGAGAGTAAAGCATAAACGCATGAATGCATATGGATAAGGTACAATATGTAGTTTACTTTCTGCATGTTGTTCATCTGGAACAACAGAAAGAACTTATTTTCATTATTTTCAGAGTAGGGTTTGGGGAACTTTTTATCAATAGAACAGCTTTTTTAAAACTAACATGAAACTTTTAATTATTTCTTCTTATATTTTTTGCTTTTAAAAGCTTGATAATTCAGGTAACCTGAAATCTTTAAAAAAAAAAATCTTTCAGACCTTATTTTTCAAAAGTCTCTTCAAAACATAATTTTTAATATAGTTGAATTACGACCTTTTTTTATGAGGTGCTTCTTGTGTAACAAAGAATCCTCCTTTTGTAGTTTAATACTGTAGCAACCATAATATAAAACTTTTACTTAGTAAGAAGTTCTTTGTTCACATAGGAAGAACTTCAACTTGCTAATGTACAGAATGGCACAAATCAAAAGTAATTTGATGTTGCATAAAAGCTGTTCTCCAAATATCCATAGATTAAAATAGAACATACAACACATTGGGGTACGACACATTGGGGTGGTGGCAGTAAGAAGGATTCTGATTTTGTGTGTGTGGCTGTTTTTCTCTTTCTCATAGGAATATTAGGGATTTTTTTGGTCATCTAAACTAAACAGTCATGGAATACATGAGAGACAATAAATGTCTTTACATATATCGCAAGCAACGGATTTTAACCTGGTCTGATTATATTGATACAGTAAGGGTCCTGGCCTAAAATCAACGCAGCTATAAGATTTTCACACGTCTGTGGCATTTTTGCTTGACCATACTAAACCCTTGCAAAGTTCTCTCTCTGGTCAATAACTCTTAAAGTACTGATGAAATTATTTCACAGAGAACATCCGGTTTGCTGTAACAATACTTTGTTCTTCCAAGCTCACCACACCACTTTTTGTGATTCTAGTCATTATAAAGCAGCTGGCACCCAGACAGGGTGGCTGGCATCACTCTCTCAACCCCCCCGACATGTATCAACTGCAGCTTCACAACTGGGGCTATTCATACCCCAAGATTCACACATAAAAGACTTTTCAGTGCAGTGAGGTTTATGCAGCAACACCTGGGGTCAAGGAGCAACAGGGCACTTCCAGCACTGCTATCTTCATGCCTCAGTGTCAGAATTACAGCAACTGGCTCAGCCTCAAGCCTTGCTTTTTAAAGAGGAGGAAGAGAGTAAAAAAATATTACAAGGCAGGGAGGAGGGGGAATCAGCCTGCCTGCAATAAAATGTATTTGACAAGTGGAAATAACATCCATACGGTAGGTACACTCCCACCCGAATTAGAAAGGAATCTAGGTCGACAGAGCTCTAGAGACTTATTTTCTTTTTTTTTTTTCTTCCTCTTTTTTCTTTTTTTTTTTTTCTTTTTTGTTTTCCTCTACCATATTTTCTTTTTTCTCTTTCCCTCTTCTTTTCCCTCTCCTCTCCTCCCTACCTTCTCTTTTCCTCTCTGTCCGCTTTTCTCTTCTTTCCTCTCTCTTTTTCTCCTCCCTGTCCTCTCCCATTTCCCGAAGGAACACGCTGTCCGCGAGCGCTGCCCGGAACCTCCTGGGCGAGGGCCGCACTCGAAGCCGGGCGGGGGCGCCCCACCACCGTGTCGCGCCTCTTCTCTATGCATTACGGTAGGAGGGCCGCCGCGCCTCTTCCACCTGCCACCGGCCTTTAAAGTCAAGGCTGGCCGGGCGGCGCGATGACTTGGGGCCTGGGCTGCTCTGCGGCCTCGCGGTTGGAGCGAGGCTGCGCCCCCTTTTCTTTTAGGAGGACTTTTTCTCCGTCGCTCTCACTCGCCTGCTCTTGAATTTCCACTCTGTGGTAAAGGACCAGTGCGAGCGAGGGCTGATTGGCCCAGGAAGTCCCCATGCCTGCGGCGGGTCACCTGCGCGGCTCTGCCGCCAGCCCCGGCGCGGTTGCGGATTACCGCGCCTCCGCGCCCCTGCCGCGGCCGGGTGGCCGCGGGTAGTGTCGGCGCCGCGGCCGCGGGCCCCTCCGGGGCAAGCCATGGAGCCCGGGTCCCCGCTAGACCTGCGCGACGTCGAGCAAAAGCTGGGGCGCAAAGTGCCCGAGAGCCTGGCGCGGCCTCTGCGCGGGGAGGAGCTCGCGGAACGTCCCGCCACTGCCGCTGCGGCCCCTGGGCCCCGGCGCCGCCGCGCCGCCGCCCTGGCCCGGCTGGAGGCAAAAGTTCACCTCCTGAGGCAGGAGATGGTGAGTAGCTGGGAGTCGGCCGACAGGCCCTGCCGCAGCGCTTGGGGCAATTGCAGCCTTCCCGCCCCGCCGCCGGCAGCGATCCCGGCGGGGTCGGCCGGGGACGGAGGCGGCTTTCCGCCCGCCCTGGGAGCCGGCTCCGGCGCAGGGAGGTGGTGCTGCTCGGCTCCGGGGAGCAGCCGCCGCCTCGCACCGATCCGGTGCGGGGATGTGGAGCCGGGGTGGCAGGAGGGAGGCGGTACCCTGGGTGTTGCCCGTGGGAGCGGTGGACTGCTCTATGGACGGCGTGCAGCTGGTCGGCTGTGACTCGCTGTTGGCACCTGTCTTCTGCCAGCTCGCTGGAAGTACCGAAGGCTTCTGTAGCAATAAACGAAATAGCGCTCTCATCTCTCTCTTGCAAATGCCTTTCTGCATCCCACCTCTTCCTTACGGATGACTAATACCCAAAGAGACTAGATGTTTTCAGGCTGAAAATTTGACCTGGTATTAAGTGACACAGTTTCTGGACAGGGGTTTTCAGAGGCTTATTTAGTTCTAAACAGGCTGCAGAAGATGCACAGTAATTCTTGAACAAACAACAATTTATAATTTGGCTGAGAGGCTTGTTTTGGGGTTTTCCGTTGTGTTTTTGTTTGTTTGTTTGTTTGTTTGTTTGTTTTGGTTTTTTGTTAGTGGACTGTGGTGGGACTGTGCTGTGTTTAGTTCGGTATTTAAGACTTGTTTACCGTCTTAACCCAGGAGCTTCTCCTACTTGGTATGTCACCATCTCAATAAACTTCTTTCTTGATGATGATGTAAAGTGATGATGCTGGCTCTATTTTAGTACAGAAAAAAAACCAAAACCCAACCCTCTGCAATCAAGTAAGCAAGAACTAGTAAGCACTCATGAGATACGATTCTTACAATGTAGTACTTGAGATGTGTGAGCATAGTTGGCTTCCATTTCTACTAGACTGTAATTGTTAGGTGAGGTCTCAAAAGACTTTTTTAGTAGCAGTTCTTTCCCTAGCTCTTGCCACTAAGCTTATTTGAAAACAGTATGGAACTTGAACTTGATTGGAATGAGGATTTTGCTGACAACATATTGAGATGACTTTATGCAACTATCTTGGAACTTGGCCGTTTACAGCAAACAAAGTAATCTCATCCTGTGTGAACAAGCATAATGCCATACCATCAGTTGCTGTGCAACCTTACACATAAATAAGCAAAAGGTGGGTTAGTAAGAGTTTTTAAAGTATAAGCTTGCTAGGGGGAAAGGGAAACAAGGAAAGGATATTGTGAGAATTAACAGCCAAGATAATGATGTTAATCTGGAAAGGTAGTTTATAAATTACGCTTGCTATTGTATAACTTAATATGGTTTAAGAGATTCTCACAAACTATCAATGTATTTTAGTCTAAAGATCACTGTGGATTTCAATTTTAACAGTAAGTTCTATATTGGCAGCATAGGTCATGTTTGTTTTTTAATTTTAAGCCTGTGCAAGGGTTGTAGAGTGGCCTGCAGTTAGCATGTCATGTAAACTATTAGGGATGTTGGACTGAAAAGGAAACAATGTCATGTAAAACTATTAGGGATGTTGGACTGAAAAGGAAACAAGGTGGGCAGAGTTCTTGGCATGACTGTTCAGACATGTCATGACAGTTAGGCTTGTTAACGGAGGGGAGGAAAAGTGACTTGCCCTTCATCACCTTTTCCTTTTGAGTTGTTCTCTTCGCCTACTTCCTACTTGCAAGTTTCATGTCACAGTCTTCAGTTTGCCTCTTCTTTCCCCTGCCATAGAGTTTCCCTTTTCCTTGCCTACCCTGGATATGACGATGTTTTAGCCCCAACATCCTTGACTGCTCCGTTTCTTTGTCACTTCGTCAGTCAGACTGACTTTTAGAATCTGAACTCATTGCTCATGCTAAGTAAGGGGAGTTCTGCTACATACCTCTTCCCGTTCGATTTCTAGTCCATGTATGTCCGTGCTCTCAGCCAGTTTATGTAATCCAGAGCATGAAAATGATCTACCTGGCTGGGGTTTTTCCCTGCTATCTTTAGTGAGCAAGGAAACTGGTCACTTAAGGATTTTCCATTATTGTTAAGGATTCTTTTTGTTCTTAGTCTGTCACCTTCCCCTATCCATTTTCTTTTTGACATTGTGCAGATATTATCAATTTAAGAACAGCATCAGGTAAAAATCGTACTGTTTCTTCCTATGTTTATTTTTTTCTTCTCCTGCACATCATGCCTAAAACAGAGCCAAAATTTCTATCTATCTTCTTGTTTCTCACCTCTGGAGTGCATTATTTTTTGGCTTCACTGCAAGGTCTAAAAGGCCTTAAACATGTAGAAAAGTAGTTTATAGCTGCTGCAGTTGTAAACAAATGCAAAAGGAAAATACTAAAAATTAAGAAAAACAAATGTCATCAAGCTATCTTTTTCTAGTTGTGCTGTGAGGGCAGTTTCTGAAGCGTACTCACTGCACTTTGAATAAGCACATCTCTGGTTTTTTTGCTTGCTTGCTTCAGACTTGAGACAAACCTGTAAGTGTTTACAGAACAAGGTCATCCAGGCTCTTTTTATCTATGACTCTGATCTAGTCATACGTAAAATACTCAAGGCTGGTTACTGTGGTGACACCTTGATCTTTCACTCTGAGCAATCCTGTCTCATTGTCTTCTTGTATTTCTGTTTTTGTTAATGAAGATATTTTGAACAGTTTTTGAGGGTTGCTTTTTTTTTAAACTTGGCCTTATACAAATTGTGCAATTATGCAGCTTGACTTCTGTCCTTTCCCACAGCTATTGTTTGTCACAATGACTGCCTATGCTGACAAATTTCTACTAAATCTGACAGAGCATTTTTATAGACACTGCCTTAGTATGTTTCGACTCATCATTATGTTTAAATAATGGTGATCCCAAAGTTCTTGGCTGTATTAAGGATGTATTTTACTGTTAACTGTGTTTTCTTGTCACTTTGCAGCTCATAGCTACTATAAAATACCTCTGAGTTCCTTCATCACCCCATTGTTTGTTCCCTGACAGTAAAGAACAAGGGAAACACCTGAACCTGTTTTTAAAGCTTGGAAGTAGACACAAAGCTTTAGCTCAGGCAACCTGTAATCCTTCCAGTGGCCAGAGTAAATTCAAATGTACAGGAGTGAAAGCAGGTGCAAGTTTTTGTTTATTTAAAACTGGAGGGCCATCTCCTTTCCTGTCAATGTACGCTTTGTTTTTCCAAATAAACCGATCTTCTGTTCTTCTGCCCATCTTGTTTATGAGAAACTAGTGCATATCTTGCTTTTAGAACACAGTAGCATTATATGTATGTGAACTGTATACTTAGGAGGAAGAGAAGAGATGGTGAAAGCTTTGAGAACTCTCAGCAAGTTGCCATGTCCTTGGGCTGGAAAAGGATCAATGATATGGTGGAAGTGATTACCTCTCCTGTGTCATCTGCTGCAGGGGATTGTTGAGAGATAAGGGTATTACCATGCCAATATTTGACTTGGAAATGCTGGTTTTGACTGTGAATTAAAGCACCTGGCAGATGGGTAGTGGGTGTGTGTGTCCATGAGGCTTGTATCTTGCTTCCTCAGATCCTTTTACTGTTCCCAGTGTATGGTTCTTTTCCCATTAAGCCTGATACTTTAAGCCCGATTGAACTGGTAGTCATTTGAATTACACATGAGGCACCACGGAGTATCTTTCTTGAAATGTGTACCTGCTTGGCCAGGCCTCCTGTCCCTTCTTTACCTTGTTTTCCCCACCAAGGCTATGATGGAGATTGTATTAAATCCTGCAGACCTTTAAGGCATAAAGCCATCAAGTAAGAGGGACAAACAAGACATAATTGCCAGTGTGGGTCAAAACACTGAGGTCTGGTCATCCTAGGATGTGATGAATACTTCATACTAGCCAGTATGCCCTTGATTCAGTATGAAATTTGTCACAACAATAATGTTAAACTTTTTGCTCGTGTGGTTTTCTAGGTTACCATCAGAGGATTAATAGTAACCTTTTACAACTGCAGTCTTATTCCTGTTATATCATGCTGCTGAGGTCATCACTCAATATGTATGACTTCAGCAGCTACACACTGCAGTAAATAATCAGTGAGGTTTGTTCTGCAGGCCAAAATGATACTGCTTCAAAAGCTTCATTTCTCCTTCACAAGTTCTAGGGTTACTCAAAGGGAGATTTTCCTTAACACATGAAAAAAGTTTGTGGGTTTGCTTTTTTTTTTGGTTTTTTGTTAAAAAGTTTCCCAAATAAGCTTTTTATTGCCTCTTCGAAAGCTAAAAAAAGCTAAATCAAGTGTAGTCTGTGTTACGTGCAGTAAAAAAAAAAAAAAAAAAAACCAGCATGCTTTGCATAAAACTAATACAGCCTGGAAAGGTAAACTGTGTCCTGGAATTGAAGGGTAAATGGCAGTGCTGGGACTTTAGGTGAGAGTCCTTCCAGTGAACACTATTGAGGATCAAATATTCATGAGTTTGAAGGCTAAATTGGGTATTCTTAGTGTAGCAGTTTTTAGGGTGAAGCAATAAAATAAAATATAAACAATCCTACTGCCAAGAGGCTGAGTGTATCCTATTTAGGTTAGAGCTATCTGGGGTAGAGACTTATTCCTATGCTCTCTCATTAGCTGAGTTTTCTTCCCCTTTGTTTTCCTAGTTCTATTTTTGTATAATAATTTTTAATAGGATAATTAGCATGGAGTCCTGACAAAATGAAGTAGAAGTACTTTTTACTGATTGGAATTACGGCAAATACGATCTTTGTGATGCCAGTCCTTTGCGTTTGGTGGTTTTTTTTTGTTTTTTTTTTTTTTTTTGTTACATACCCTTAGCATGTAAATGAAGGCACAAGCTGGAGGGCAGAGCTGTTGCAACTCTATTCTACCACCTTTTAAAAGTTTGGACAACTTCAGATTTGCTTAGATTTGTTAGATCCACAGTTGTGGGGGGTCTGCCTTTATTAGTTTCTTTAAAAGACCTTCTTAAAAA